CATTAACTGCATTCTCTTTACACAGTGGCACAAAGTCTGTCTGGAGGCCAGCACCTGGCGGTGTACTGCAGGGGTCAGTACTGGGTCTGATCTTTTTTAACATCTTCCTTAATGATCTTGATGGTGGAGCAGAGCGTATCCTCAGCAAGTTTTCTGATGACACAAAACTGGGATAGTTGTGCTGCCATTTAGAGGGACCTCATCAAGCTGGAGAAGTGAGCTGGCAGGAACCTCATGACATTCAGTAGGGGGAAGTAGTAAGGCCTCCACTTCGGGAGCAAAAACCCCATGCACCAGGATAAGATGGGGGCCGATCAGCTGGATAGCAGTTTAGCAGAAAAGGTCCTGGTGGAGACCAAACTGAAAATGGGCCAACAATGTTGCAAAAGAAGGCTAGTGTCTCCTGGGCTGCATTGGGTGTGTTGCCAGCAAGAGGAGAGAGGTTACCTTTCCCCTTTATTCAGCACTGGTGAGGTCACACTTTTGGACTATGGTGTCCGGGAGTGGGCTTCCCTGCATGAGAGAGAGATCTGGTCATACTAGAGAGTCCAGTGAAGAACCACAAAGATGACTAAGCGTGTCTTGTGTTAGTACAGGCTGAGAGCTGGAACTGTTCAGCCTGGGGAAGGGAAGGCTTAGGGGGGGATCTTATCAATGTTTGTAAATACCTGAAGGGAGGCTGCAAAGTGGACAGAGACAGGCTCCTTCCACTAGTGCCCAGCGACAGGACCAGAGGCAGGGTCACAAACTAAACCACAGGAGGGTCCCTCTGAACATCAGCAAACACTTTTTTACTGTGTGGTTGACTGAGCACTGGTACAGGTTGCACAGGGAGGTTGTGGAGTCTTCATCTCTGGAGACGTTCAAAGCCCTCTGACATCTGGACAAAGGGGTTGGACCAGATGACCTCCAGAGGTCCCTTCCAAACCCAAACATTCTTTGATTTTGTGACTCTGTCTGTGATGCTGGAATGTATCCTAGGATAAGAGAGTTATTCCTGCATGTGTGTTAATAATCACTGCTGCTAGCATTAAGAGCACTGTGCATTCTATTAACTTGGGGTTTCTTAATGATATGCAAATAAATGGACTTAAATAACTGATTATTCTGTTAAGAATAATTACCGTATTGCAGCGTTGAATGATTTAAACCTACTGGGTTAGAAGGTTTGTCATGTTGGAGCTCATTGGGGTGATGCAAATAAATAAACTTCAGACCATATTCAGTTGTAATCAAGTAATTAATGTGAGCTGCAGCTCGTATTCTGTTTTCTGATCATCTTAATGCAAACTCATGTGGCAAGTCATCAATTTATACAGAGTTTTATAAGCTGTATGATTTTATAAACTGGAGCTCATCTTCTTACTAATGAATTTTAATATTAAGTATCTTGTTCATTTTTGTTGGTTTGGTTTGTTTTCCTCATCAAATGTCAATAGCAGAATGTTTATTGAGGGAATAAATTGTATAGGGGGAATGGGACAGACAGTGAAATCTTGGCCTTTTTTTTTTTTTTTCAATGCCTTACCTGTACTTAGTTTCTAAGAAAGCTGTTAACAAAGATATAGCAATGTTATTTCTATGTCAGATAAGATGCTGACCTTCCTGCAATTACTATTTTGGGTTGTTTCTTTTTAGCCTGAGGAAATGACCAGATTGAGAAGCCTCAACAGACAGCTCCAGATAAATGTTGACTGTACACTGAAAGAAGTTGATCTCCTTCAATCAAGAGGTACGGAGCTGATAGCTTTTAAAAAATGTGATTTAAGTATGGGTGGGAGTGTTGATCTGCTTGAGGGTTGTAAGGCTTTACAGAGGGATCTGGATGGGCTCAATCAATGGGCCAAGGCCAGTCATATGAAGTTCAACAAGGCCAAATGCTGAGTCCTGCACCTGAGTCACGGCTTGGGGAAGGGTGTGTCCAGGTGGCCAAGAGAGAAAACAGCATCCTGGCTTGTGTCAGAAATAGTGTGGCCAGCAGGACTAGGGAAGTGATTTCCTCCCTATGCTTGGCACTGGTGAGGCTACACGTCAAATACTGGGTTCAGTTTTGGGCTCCTCACTACGAGAAGGTCATTGAGGAGCATGTCCAAAGAAGACCAACAAAGCTGCTGAAAGGCCTAGAGCACAAGTCTTAGGAGGAGCAGCTGAGGGAAATGGGTTTGTGTGGCCTGGAGAAACAGAGGCTGAGGGGAGAACTTATCATTCTCTACAGCTCCCTGAAAGGAGATTGTGGGGAGGTGGGTGCCAGTCTCTTCTCCCAAATAACAAGTGATAGGACAAGAGGAAACATCTTCAAGTTGCACAAGGGGAGGTTTGGATGGGACATAAGGAAAGATTTCTTCACATAAAGGGTTGGTTGTCAAGCATTGGAACAGGCTATCCAGGGAAGTGGTTGAGTCACTGTCCCTGCAGGTGTTTAAATGTGTAGATGTGGAACTTGGGGACGTGGTTTAGTGTTGACCTGGCAGTGCTGTGTTAATGGTTGTACTCAATGATCCTAAAGGTCTTTTCCAACCTGGATGATTCTGTGATTGTAATATAGTATGTGCTTACATGTGGATACTTTGACTCTTTATTTGATTTTGATAATCAGTATCAGCTTATTGCTAAAAGGTGTCTTTCAGTTGCAACCTGATAAACTTGACTTCCTAATATTTCTGTTGGCCAAGATAAATTACATTACCAAGAAAGTGGTGATTTAAGTGTGACTTCCTCAAGAGCAAAATAATAATAATAGTAAAAAAATGCTCCTTAGTGAAGGTTCTTGACTTAAAAATTTAACTTTTTGCTGACAAAGGCTTTGACCAACTAATACAAAACAAAACTACAGGTTGCAACCAAGAAGTTGGCAAACAGAAATCTACTTAGGTCTTCAGAAATCCTCTTTCCACAACAGAAGCTTGACATGAATGTGATCAAATAGATCAGAATATGCATAGTCCTCCTTTTATACCAAGAATGTGTCCTATGGAAGGATTTACTTTATCACATATTTTTAAAGGACTACAGAATGTTGAGCTGAAGTTGATTCTTCACTGTGGGATTAGCCTGATAAAAATTACTAGAATTGATACAAAACTGAAAATATGTGACAAAAGACGACTTGGGGAAAAAGCTAATATAGAGTGTCATAACAAAAAGACATATAAAATGGGAAGTATGTAGATGGGCATAGGCAGGTAAATAACCTTTGAGTTACACTTTCTTACTTTTCTTTTCTGACAGGAAACTTTGATCCAAAAGCTGCATGTAACTTCTATGATAACATAGAGCCTGGTCCTGTTGTGCCACCAAAGCCATATAAAAAGGGTAGGTCAACAAACAAGCAGCAAACTACCTGCTCTGCGCTGAAAAAGTTTTGGGGGTTTTCCTTCTTTTTTTAAAAGCCCCTGTGATGACAGGAAAAAATTGTAATTATAACTTTTCTCCCTAAATAAATCAAAACAAACATTTTTATGTAAGTTCAGTGATCCTGGCTACAACTTGCTTTCTTCAGGTGGGTTGTTGCAGATGAATGCTCTGTGTGGTGAACACTGTTATACACTGTTATAATTAAAAGTCTACAAACTTCTGTGCATTAATGTGAGCTTCTGAATTATGTTTTTTTTAAATACTTATTGGTTAAAAGCTCTGTCAGGGTTGTTTAGCTGTCCTCTGATATGTGTTGATAGGATTTTATCATTTAGTTGGAGTCTTTTATGCAAGTTTAATTGGTCACAGCAGCTTTTTAAAATTTGGTTATATTTTTCATTATATTTTAACTTGACTGGCTACACTTTACCTGGTTTTTGTGTGTGAGTATGAATTTCACAGTAGCCCTGAGGTTTCAGCGCAGCAAGAGCTTCAGACATTTTAAGGACCAAGGCAGAACATATTTCCTCATGTAGGTCTAAAGAGAGAGCAGTGTTCCACTTGCTCATTACTGGTTTCTAAAGTGTTCCATGCTAGTTATACAGTATCCAGGATTCAAATCCAGCTCGGGACACCAAAGTTTTATGTAAGCACAGGAGCTATGAATGCAAGTCTCACTTTTTGTCTAGGTGGGATTCACCAGCACATCCCAGAGTGACTCAGCTCACCCTCAGTAGACACCTAGTGGCCACATAGCTCAGTAGCTCTCTGGATTCCACTGCGTTCATTGGTGATACTGGAGCAGAATCCTGCCTTTTGTTTCCAGCATTTTTTGAGCTTTGGTTTTTGTCCTGTTACTTCCTGAAGTCTTTTTAAAGAACAGTTTCAAATGTTAGTGGAAGTTTTTAAACGCTTTGCATCTTTCTGCTGGAATAGCCTGTCTGGGACCCTGTGCTCTGATGTAGAAAAAACAGTGGTCTTTTCTCTGAAAACACTGTGTGAGGAAATTTAAATATCGTCTCCTCTTTCTGTAACTAGCATGTACTAAAGGTGTTACTGGAAAAAAGTCACTCTTCTGAAGCTATAATCATATAATCTGCCTGAAAATGTAAATTTTATAGATAAGTTTTAGTTACTGATAAGCATTTCACAAAGGCTTTTGAGGTTGAAGTTTGAATTCATATATGGAAATTTTTACTGCTTTTTTTTAAGAAAATATTTATCCTTCACTGTAATAAAATGGTTAGTATGTGGAAATTTTTTTAAAAAGGGAAAGTCCACAACTACTGTTTATCTTCAAAACCCCCTCAAACCAATATTAGGATAAGTCCCCTGCATAGGGTGGTGGCATCCAGCAAAGATGGTCGGAGCAGGTGAGCAGTGGCGTTAAGGCAGCTGCCTGAATTTGTGTTAAATTGCAGTGGTCATGTGGGCAATTTAAGGCACTGCTACTTTATGATGCTTGAAGAGATTCTCTTAATTACACTAGCCTATTTGACTTATTATCTCAGAGGAAAATAACATGCAAAACTTCCATGAAACAAGTGATTGTTTGGCAGTTGGAAATAGTGTCTTGTAAGGATTTGTATGACTTTTATGACTAGGTTCCTGGTTTTGTATGTCAGCTTACTAGAGGTCAGTTTTAGGGCTGGTGTACTGTATTCTGAGCTTGGCTTTTAGCACAGAGTTGTAAAATTATTTTTTTTTCCCTTAAAAAATTCCATTGCCTTAATATTTAGTTGTTGGAGACGTGGGCAGACAGGTAGGTACAGGCAGACAAGGGTCTGCGCTGTACTGCAGCCTGGCTAGTCAGCATGAATGCAGTCTAGTGCCCATGCTGCTTGCTTACTTAGAAGGAATTTGTTGATTCCAAAATTCCAAAGACTGTTCACGTGAATGTACAATTTCTGGACTGGAGAGGGTTTGCATCTAAGAAAGGAGGTTACTTTTATTTTCTTCAAGTATGTCTTTGAAGACAAACATAAATACTATTTGACTAGCTTTGCTGTCAGCTGCTGCTACATTTCTTAGCAGAGGACAGCAATGTGTGCACTTGGAATTACAAATTGCAGTATTTTCTCACAAAGTTAGTTCTCTTTTAATTAGGCTGTTCTGCACATGTTTGTTTAGCAGATGGGTATCTTAACCTTACCTCCTAGGTATATGTGCTAATGTTGTTTCAAATATTAGCATTTTGTAAAATGTTGTGTTTCCACATCCTAGGAATATTTGTCGCTTTTAGCAGATAACCTGAGGTCTTGAAGTGGTGGTAGGAGACACTGGAAAACTGAGTAGTCTTTCTGTAGGTTAAAACCTAATGCGTGGTTTGCATGCACACTAATTTTTATGAATGAAAACAGTTAAATGCTGCTTTAGATACACACATCCCTGCTACAAAGCCACAAGGAAGAAAAAAATCATCTTGTTTTGAAACAGGCCTGCTGTTTTTGTTTTGATATATTGTGTTTTCTTCAGCCTGGAAAAATGCTAGGAAGAGATGCAGCAAATATATAATCTGTCAGATTGTTTAAAGGAACTAAATTAGAAGTAGTCTTCTGCTTCACGTAAAGTAATCTTATTGGAATGTAGAATTTGGTAATAGACTGATGTACCTAAGTCATTGCTTAACAGGATGATCTTGCAGTGCCAGTAACAAACTTTTCAGTACATTTTTACGCTGCTAAACCTTTAGCAGTGGTAGTGACCTAACAGTGGTGACTGCTCTTTTTGCTTTTAATGTAGTTTAAGTGACTCTTTACAGAAGTGAACAGACCTTCAGTGCTACTTAAGTGGAAAGGTTTCCACACTCATTTTAAGATAGAATGTTTAATGAGGTGACAAACCCACTAGTGTGATCTTGTCTATCATCCTTCTCTTCTGAAATAAGAAATTTTTTTTTTCCTTTGGCTTGTTTTCTTTTAGAGCAACAAACCAGCTCCAAACAGACTCCACGGACTCAACCAAGAGATGAAGACTTTGAAGGGGCTCCATGGAATTGTGATAGCTGTACCTTTCTAAATCACCCAGCACTAAATCGCTGTGAGCAGTGTGAAATGCCACGATACACCTGAAAATCAGGAAGGGGCTGCTTTGGGTTGAAAACAGGCTCTCAAGCTGATAGCTGTAGGAGAAGGAAACATGTGGAACCTTTCAGTCCATCTGCCTGGCCTTTGCCAGTCAACAATCTTTGTACTGCAAGGAATGGGAGTAATATGTTAAGATGTTTCTGCTTGTGCTACACTGAAAGTAAGGGTGAAGTTCTGTCTTATCCCATTGCAGTGAGCAAAGCAGAAAATGGAACCTGAAAATGTAAAAGGATTAATTTTGGGAAGAATGTATACAGGAAAGCAAATAACTACTGGTGTTTAGTCCTGTGGTTATAGTTCTTGCTTAGTGGCTCTAAAAAACCCCAACAATTTAAAAGAAAAAGAATTATAGAACTTCTAGTAATGGTGTGAAATGTTACACTTATCCAGAAAAACTGAAGAGCCAGAGCTGACTCAACCTGGCCACAGCTAGCTGGAAAACAAAGGCTCCCTGTGCTTCTAGGTTGTAAGCTACTGAAAAGGAAGACAGGTAAATGCAATGATAAATTTTGCAATGTATAAAAAACAAGGAGAAGGGTATTTGTAATTGCTGCTTTTTTTCAGGGTAACTTATGTCTACAAAAAATTGCTGTTTGAAATAGTAACCTAAGGTGACTAAACGAGATACTGTATGAGTGTTACAGAGAGTTTAATCGGAGGTAATTTTATACAATCCCTTTTGCTTGTACAGTGCTCACCTGGCTGTGTCAACACTGGTAATAAACTATGGATAAATTCTGCCTATCACGGATGAAAATACTGCTGCATGCTTTTATTAGGCCGTCGTGTTTCAAAGCTAAAAGTATGCTTTTATATACAATGGTCTTCTAAACCTGTGCTCTGTAGCAGCACAGTAACATACGCCAAACGGAGACTCCTCCAAGTTCATTCTGGAAGATGAGCTCAGCCATGGTTGTGGATGGGAAGAGTTTGTACCCAGTTCCTTAGGCCTCCTCAGCTTCCCATTTGTGGAGATCTCATTATGTTTACAGCACAGAAGGTACTTTGTGCCCCAGTTCAAAGTTAGCTGAAAAGTAATGAATCAGTTAGCTCTTCAGTACAAGTTTATTTGCACATTAAGAAACCATCCTGTATAAAATAGCAGATGCCAGATCCTGAAAAATTACACTCTGCATTCTTTTTATTTTGATCAGGAAATCTTTGCCATAGGTTGAAGAACACAAGACTTGCAACTGAAAATCGTACTGGTACTTTTATACATATGATACACTGTATTATAAAAGTGATGTTCAGTTTGAATGCTTCAGGTTGCTGTAATAAAGCACTCGATACTTGTGAAATCAAACTTGGGTTTGGGCAGCTGAATGCTTGTGTTACACAACTGTGCGACTGAGTAGGACGTTCTTGTGTACTGGTCAGAAGCCAGCACAGTGCATTTGAGTTCTTGTGGTGTAACTGCACCAAGATCCAGAGGCACAACCGAGCACGTCACCCGAGTTATGGTAATTGACTTTGCAACTGTGAGGCAAAATGGGGTAGCTAAACCTTACCAGAGGAGGTTTAAACTACTTCATTGTAAGTTGTTCTTAGCTCATGGCAGCCATATCCATATGGTCAATTTCCACAATTCACTTGATGTGTGATATCACGTTAAGCTGTGCTAAAACAATCATGTGTCTGAATCCTTATTTAAAACGAGGCAATGTGGGTAAGGGGTGGGTGGAAGAAAACTCATCTTGACTGCATTGCTCAGTCTGTTGTCTTCTCTCCCTGCAGTTTATAAAAATAACAGTGAAAACCAAACTGTGATCTTAGATGAGGAACTGATATTTTATCTGACATTTTCTGAAATGTTCTTGCACTAATTAAGTCTTCAGCATAATTTAAAATAAGCTAAAAGATCTCCAGCAATCACTGTGCACTGCTGATGAGCAAAACAAAGTCAAAGGCATCAGAACTAGTCCTCTGCTCTCCTCCTTGCTCTCCTCCCTGCTCTTGATTTATATTACTATGTGGGGAGCTCATCACATATGGAAAGGGGGGGAAAAATTGCTGTCAAATTAAATTAGAAGGCAAATATTATTTTTGTTTATGTAAGTGGACAGCCTGACAAAAGTGAGATAACTAGAAAATGGATGAGCAGAGGCATTATAACTGGGATAAGCAGTACTGTTGCTGTTATCAGCTGTATAATGAATTACTCAAAACAATACTAGTAACTTCATGACTTTTCTATTGTGATGCCTTTGCCTTTTTATTATTTCAATTTTCATTTGTACTTCTGTTGAAGTTCTAGAAGCATTTGGTCCTGCTAGAATTACAAAATGATGGCAAATGAAATGACAGTCAGCAAATGAGAGTGGGTGTGTCGTGCATCAATACAGCTGTGGCACTTTCAGGCAGAATAGATGCTACTTTTGCAGGGGGGCTGGGGGGAGTGCATGCAGTCCAATAATTCCCTGAACTGTAATAACCATAAATGGAGACTTCTTAAACTTAGTCATAGCTTCACCAGAGGAAGAGAAGGAAGGCTGCCTGACAGAAAGATACTTCTTGGAAGACTGAGTGCAACTAAATTGCAAATTAATTTCTTCATACCAATATTTTTATATCAGTTTTTTGATTACTCTAATTTGTTGCTTGTACAAAAAAACCCAAAAAGGACAAAACCCCACCAAATCCTTCTGTTGTAGTCTTTTACTTGTAAATGCCCATACACAAACATGAATAGGGAGAACTTTACATGGTGCTTGAATATTTCTAGTTTGTTAGAATGTAAATTGTATTTTGAATATTGGAAGATCCGTTTACCTCTGAGAACAGGTGACGTTGTTCACACCCCAACTGAATTGTAGATTATGCCAAAAAGATTGGTTTATGTAATATTTATTGAATGCACATAAAACCCTAATGTCAGCTGGCATACAAAATGCACTGTATTGTATAAAACGTGTGTGTGTGTGTGAATGGGGGGATGATGATGCCGTTGTGTTGAGTTAATGCACTACTTGTCCTTCCTTTTTTTCCTTAACCACTGAGCTTTCCCTCAACCATGCTACTAGAGTGGTAGAGTTTGTAACTGACTTGGACACTCAGATATTCAAAATTATTTCACTGTTCATTGAGATTTTATAAAGCTTATTTTATATTTACTGTGCTATGAAGATGAATCCCCTTTAATTATAGAATGCTACTGTAGTTCTTTAAAAGTCTCTTTAGAGTGGGGCTTGTGGAAGATGATTCAGAACATAGTAAACCAAAAGAAATCCTGAACTTTGGATCTACTTTTGATTTGATGTAATAGTCTTGTTTGGGTGAAAACGAAAGGGGTTGGAAGTCAAGCAAAAGGAAGTACTTTGTAAAATGTAGTCTTAGATCATATGGAATTGTGTATCTGTGTGTCTGTGGTATGTGTGTTTCCCTTGAAAAATGGGAGGTGTGGTGAAAAGGTGTAATAATTCTTAAAAGAGCTGGTCTCAGTACTTTCTGATTATGATATGCTACGAAATCATGTTTTTTTAAAAAAACCCTTTTCTTTCAGTTACTTTTACCTGTCCCAGTTACACACTTTCCATTGCAATTTCTAAGTACTTTTACATTTAATATTGATTGTAAAACCCCTTGAAACTGAAATAAAAATACTTTGAGTTGAAATGGGGACAAAATAAAAACAATAAAGAATGTTTTAAAAAGAATGTGAGAATATTAAATATGTTAAAAACAAGTTTGTCATCAGGATAATTTTTTTTTTTTCCCCTTAAATTCAGTGGTATACCCTAGAAAATTACTATCCTGACAAGAAGTGGATAGCTGGACATAATTCATTCAGCTTGTTTGGTACCACCAAATTTACATGTTCTGACGACAGTGACTCTAAATCCCATAAAGAGAGAAGACATGCACAGTTATCAGATGTCATAGTCAGTACTGTCTCTGTGTGCTGCTGCATTCCTTTCGTTTCAAAAAGTCAACGTTACGTGAAGCTAGCCATGACTGATTTTTGCCAGATTTCTTCAGTTTGGGGCTTTCATTGCTGTTTATGTCCAAAAATATTAATGCAAATATTTTTCTTGGGTTTGAGTAATCAGAAATCAATGGAGTTAATGCAATATTATAATCCTGGATTTTCAGTACCTTTGAAACTGATTTTAAAAACCTGTGTTCTTGAAACTTATTTATTTATGGTGGCACCAGTGTATCTAATCCATATTTCCTGCTGTGTGAAACCCTGTTAAATTTTTTCATTAAAAAAGACACGATCTTGTTTAATCCTGTATATATGGTGTCTACATTCTAGATTTGTGTATGCTGTGAATGAACTTATTACTAAGAGGTGAAATTGTATAAAAGCATTCAGAGGCTATGCATGCATGGTACCTCCAGAAAGTGCATACTCCAAGTTGCAGATTCCTGCAAAAATAAATTAATAAAACTAAGCAAATATCACATCCTGCATTTGTCCTTGTATGTAGTAGGAAATGTTTAAACAATACAGCCTTTTTACTGTCACAGTCTGATTGTTTCTGGTCTTCCACTTGAACCCACAGCTATAGCAGATTTGTTTCAGGGGCTCCTGGGCTTTTCTTTTTGGTGACCGATATGATTCTCATGAGGCAATTGCTGAACATTGAACTGGGGTCCAAATCCTATTCCTGTGAATTTGGACAGCTTGTGTAAGCAGGGCTCCCATTAGGTGGTGGATATTCCGTGCAGGTTCTGGTGTAGGAGCAGGACATACGAGGTTCAGAGGGTGAAGTCGCGGTCATCACTTTTACTTTGGAGAGTTGTAGCTGAAGGAGAAGCTGTCCCTCCTGGAGCAGGGGGTCACCTCTTGTTTGCAGCCTCAATAGCAGGCGTTCCTGCCTGGCCTCCGTAGCGCACTGAGCATCTGCATTATGAAAGTCCATTTTCTGCTATGAGCTCCTGCAGGCAGGCACTGACTGCTCTGGGAGAGGGTGGAGAATTTGAAATGCGTAAATCGATATGCAGGCAGTTCCTTTTCATTAGTATATCTTCGCCGCTATCTTGACTAACATAATCTACAACTTGAAAGCTCTTATGTTGTGTGACAGCTGTATTTTGTTCACACACAGTGTCAGTCATTGAACGCTTTCTGGTCTAATAAACCTACTGCAACTGTGGTGTCCTGAGCTTTCATCAGCAAATCTAGTTTTGTATTCCTTGTGATAAATTGAATGTATAAAAACTTTTGGATAGGTTTGTATTTTAATCACGCATTCAATTCTTTCACTTTAGAAATTGTTGCAATTGACTTTAAAAAAAAAAAAAAGTTGCAAAGCTTTAAAAAATGTTTGAAAATGTTGAGGTGCCTGTAAAATGTATTATGCCAACAGAGAACACACAAAGGCAAATGCCAGTAGATCTAACAATTGACAATGGCTGCTCTTTTGTTGTTATTTCTTTGAAGTCATGAGGAGGAGGGCGATCTGCCTGAAATAATTGCATAAAACCATATGATTTATTCATAAGAATTACTTGGTTTTGATAGTACTGTACCGTGTCTTAAACCTGTGGCTCTTAGGGAGGTGATTTCTCTTGTGATCT